TGCTTATAGAGGGCTGAACATTTTTCAACAAACCTAAACAGGCTTCTTTAATTTTATTATCTCATTAATCTAGCAGGCTCCACCCTGAAGAAAACGACAACAACAAAACAAATAATCTCTTTACCTGTAAAACTCCACTAGTCTTAATCATGCACGCTCCCTCAGCGTCAGCTCCCCTGCCGCTCTCCTGCTTCTCCCTCAATCATGTCTATTTGTGAGGCAGTGCCACCTAAGGGCCCGAAGATCACGGGCATCCAATATGGTTTTTTGGCCTTGTCCCTTACACACAGAGACTTCTCCAGATTCTCTGAATCTCTTGATTATATTATGTACTGTAGATGATGATATTTTCAACCTCTTTGCAATTTTATACTGAGGAACCTTTTTCTGAAATTGCTCCACTATTTGTTGATGCAGTATTAGGGGGATTGGTGATCCTCTGTCCATCTTTACTTCAGAAACACACTGCAACTCTAACACGTTCTTTTTATACCCAGTCATGTTACTGACCTGTTGCCAATTGACCTAATTATTTGCAAATTGTTCCTTCAGCTGTTGGGTTTTTGTACCACTAACTTTTCCAGCCTCCTATTGCCCCCGTTCCAACTTTTTTGAGACGTGTTGCTGTCATGAAATTCAAAATGAGCCAATATTTTTCACTAAATAGCAAAATGTGTCACTTCAAAAACTTTTTACATGTTTTATATGTTCTGTTGTGAATAAAATATCAGTTTATGAGATTTCTATGTCATTGCATTCTGTTATTCAGTTATTTACAATTTACCCTACGTCCAACTTCATGGGAATTGGGGTTGTACACTATATACATTATTTCTACTTTATATAGGATGTGTGTCATATCATTCCTGCTTTTACTATATGTTACTGCAAGTTTTATGTGCTATTTAGCATGATTTGAAAGGTTATGTTTTTGGACTGGGAATGCTGAAAAGTTTCCCCTCTATAAATCAATGGTAATTGCTTCTTTGCTTATGAAAGGTTTCATACGAATACTCTGTTTTCAGATAGTGGGGAGGAAAACTCTCTTGCAGGATCTCGTAGAAGTACTCATTATTTTTTTCCCCTCCCATTATTTTTTTTTCCTCCTCTCATGTCCCCTTATCGGCCCCATGCAAATCATGACCTTTTTTTTTTGTGAACTACAGCCAGAAATTTTTGCCAGTTCACTCTGGCAGCCACATCTAGATCTCTCCTGTCGCCACCACTGCATCTTGTCTGTAGTCGCACTTCCCCACCTTTATGTTGTGATTGGCAACTCCTGACTGCAACATTATTATCCCATCTCAGTTTATCTAGTGCTAGTAGTAATTAATAGTAATGATGAGATTTCAACTTATGAGCTGAATTCCAAAGCATTATACTCATAAATAGGGGGAATACCTGTTTTTGGGTCGATTAATCTTTTCGTCAATGACTTCTGCTTTTGCATTCATTCCTTTTTAAATCTGACTTTTGAAGAATCAGAACATAAGAACATAAGAAATTTACAAATGAGAGGAGGCCATTCGGCCCATCAAGCACGTTTGGGGAGAACTTAACTAATAGCTCAGAGTTATCTAGTGTCACGTCCGGCTTGTACGATCTCGATCGTGTGTGCCACGCCCCCTCATTACCTATACGCGCTCCCCCGATTGTGATCACCTGTTTCCTGTTATTTCGGCTTGTCTT